CTCATGATACAGCCTGTACCTTCTTAGAGAAACATATTTAATGAAATAAGAAAAACTAATAGCGCTCTGCAGAAAAAGTAAAAAAAAAAAAAAAGAAGAAGAAGAAAATGCAAGATCAAAACTCCAGCTAAACTCTTTAAGCCATCATGAGTGGCCTCTAAACCACAAACAATGCTGAAGTTCTGGGGAAAACTTTGCTTCCCTGGCACTCACAATGCACATTAACTTGGAAGCAGAACTCTGCCAAAAATGTAAACCAGTCACTGTTTATTAATGTGAAAAGAAAATTAGCACATAAGCAAAAGGAAAAACACATCTCTGGTGTCAACCTTTCTGTGAACTTCTCTGTGGTGATTACGGTTGCATTTGCTGGTTCCTGCAGAGGTGTGATGGACCGAGGGAAACGCACCCCTGGCGTGAGTGGTGCAGCTGTCTGTGGTTGCACGCTACAACTGTGTCAGGTACAACTGTGTTCACTGTTCGTGGGTTCTGATTTACAGAGCCTCTTAAAGTCACTGCAGGAAGAGGAAGATTTGCAAAGGCCCCCAGTTCTGGCTGCACGTAAACTCACTAGGGTGTTTGCAAAAACAAGCAAACATCCCTCCAACGGCTGGCTCCTTCACCAAGCTCAGTAAGTAAGAACCTCCGAACATGAGCACTGGAGAACAATCAGGACTCCATAATAAGCCCTGGGGATGTACCGTTAGATCTGAAAAACTCTGTATTAAAATGGACTTTAGCAACTGGTCCAACCCAGTCTCCTAAAATGACAGGAGTCGTAGCGACAGGACTGAAGGTCCAAGGAGTTATTTCCAGTTTCTCAAAAGGTCCAGGAGAAAACATACATGCAACTTCCAACATCCAAGGTAAGGAAGAGTTGTTTGTTTTTTTGTTTGTTTATTGGTGTTTTGCCTATAATGATATTGGCTTAATATTGTGTCATGAAAGATAGGTTGATTGATTTGAGGAATAGAAAATAGGCTCCATTTGGGAAAAACTAAAAAGAGAATCTCTTGTAGATAGCTGTAGCTTTTGCATGTACAGCATTCATTCTCCTTTTGAAAACAGTGCTCTAATTTTGAGGGGAAAGATTCCTCCCCTAGAGTCAGTCTGAGTCTAGCTGAGCCCATCACCTGGTCTTAGGATGAGCATATGACCCAGAGCTGGATAATTCCAATATCACATTCAGGTCCTTGACAATGACCCTGGTCAGACTATTACAACAAGAGGATGTCAGCCCTGAGCCTTTCCTAGAGGGATAAGAAGGATCCACCAGGACCCCTGTGAGTGAAAAATCTGTGTTAATGTAAGGGTATTGCAGAGGAAAGCAGGGAACAGCCACGGAGACAGAACTGGTCTGGTTGACATGATGGGGTTCCTGAGATACGGATCAAATCAACAAGATCCTGGGTTTGTCAGTTACATGAGTAAATAAATTTAATTTTACTAAATTCATTCATTCAGTTTGTAAAAGCCAATATAAACGAAGTTTCAGTTACCAGCAGCCAAACAAGTGTGATGAAGGCAAGATCCTTGTCAATGAAATTATCAGAACCATTAAGAAATCTGGAGATGCTTTACCATTTCACACACAGTTTTTGTTCATTTGTTTTATGAGGCAAGCTGAAAATTTCACTTCCGAGAATCAGGACCTCAGGGAAATTTCTAGTCAATCACTCAGTCCATTAACAAGTATTCAGGGAGCTCCCTCTTTGGGCATGTCTCTCTACTAGGCACGATAAGAAAGTTGAAGATCTGGTCCCTGCCTTCAGGAAACTCACAATCTACTCAGTGAGACGAAGCAAACACATTAGAAATAACTCGGAGAATAAAATCAAGTAAACATCAGTGGAAAGAATGAATTCACACACCCTAAGTGCTTTTTGTGAACCAAATGCCATAGGACACGTTGTAAATACTACAGCTGCTGACTTCAAGGAGCTTATTATCAAGAACACAAAACACAGATTCCAAAGATGATTTGAGTGCATGACAAAGCAACATGCCATGATTAAACCACAAAAAAACGACACCTCAGAACTAAAGACATAAGCAACCTGGGAATTACTTGACTAATTTATTCTAAAAGCTGAGAGGCTTCTCCTGTGACTCGCAAGTGTCACCAGCTTCAGATTCAGAGGCTAAACTCATTTAAACACGGACTCTCTAGGGTCTGAGGTCTTCTCCACGGTTACTATGACTTCTCTGGAGGAACACGTCATCCTCTGAAGACAGCCTCCACCGCCCCCAGCTCTCGATCATTCTCCAGGTCCTCATTGTCCTCCAATTCCTCATCATCCTCAACTTTCTCTTTTTCTTTAACCCCCTCCCATCTCCAACTCTCCAAGCTGTCTCCAGCTCAGTGTCCAGAGCTTTTCAAGTACGCGATAACCGAGGTCTCACACTAAAGACAGAGAAGGAGGTGATGGGAAGGTGGACTCAGGTGAGGAGATATCGGATCCCCATTAATTTGAACCTCTATTTTTTTTTCCCTCTGATCTTCTTCTTCCCTTCAACATCCAAATCCAAACTCCTCTGGAAACAAACTGCTACTGAGTAAAGAATTCCCTGTGTACTTTAAAAGAGTACTTTGTTAATGCAAACAGCTTTCCAGCATACGTGTGCCTGGTTGACGTGTGTGTGTACACGTGTACATGTGTGTGTGTATTAAGGGTTGATATTTCAGAGCTTTGGAAGAGAGGGTAGGCCAGGAGAGGGTGAGACAAATGATCACCAAGCAAGGCCTCTTACTTCCTTTATGTACTCCTGTATCACTTCTTCGGGGGGTGTGGGTGATAGGTTAGATTAGTACGGCAGCTACTCACATATCAAGGACACAGAGAATGCCCAGTAACAGAATCGGAGAAAACCCCAAGAATTTAGCTTTCTCTCACATATCTCTTCTGCTACTTGACTACCTTAATTTTCCCTCTGAATTCTCACTAACCTTTCTGTTAAGTCATGGAGAGCATGAAGCAGTGAAAGGGGAAATTACACGACTTGACAACTCAGAACTCTTGTTTCTAAATAAAAGGCTGACATTTCACTGAATGATGGAATAATAACGTTAAAATATTAGCCAGTCTGACCGCTCCCACACACCCCGAGTGGTCTCGCACCACGGTCCCTGGCTTGCCCGCTGTTCGGTCAGCTATGCTCTTCTCATCTAGCTGTTTTAGAAAGGAAGAAGGCGTGGCTTCTCACCTCTTGAGTTCAAACACCTCAACAATGAAGGAGAGGAATAGTAAGGAGCTACAGTCTAGCCAAAGACTGAGGATAAAGCATCATGACAAGCACACAGCTTTCCCTAAGTCTTTAAGGCTTGTCTGGTAGCTCAGGCAGCAAAGAGCCTGCCTGCAACGCAGGAGACCCAGGTTTGATCCCTGGGTCGGGAAGATCCCCTGGAGAAGGGAATGGCTGCCCCTTCCAATATTCTCACCTGGAGAAGCCCATGGACAGAGGAGTCTGGCAGACTACCGTCCAGGGGCTCACAAAGAGTCAGACACGACTGAGCGACTAACACTTTCATATCACTTTCACTTAAGGCCAATTTAGGAAACAAAATTCCCTGAATGTCACAGAAGCAGGAGCAAAGAGAATGCAATGGAGGCAATAGATGTCCTCCCAAGGGAGGGTCACCACGCATGCTCCTGGGGTAAGTCTAAAGCAGAGGACAAAACCCCTGAGAAGTTGATGAAATCTAGGTTGACCCAATCAAAGGAGGCAGCAAATGCTGAGAGGGACCGCTGCATCCACTGAGGCCAGTAAAACTTTAGACAATGTCAGAATTTCCCACTTTGCCGTGTGGTGGAGGAGAAGGAAGATGATTGACTTTGGCCAACTGGGGCTCAGAGGCATTAGGAGAACCAGCAGGCCCATGATTGTGCACAGCGGAAGAAGGCACGTCTCCATGGTGATGCAACCGGGCCAACATGAGCTCCAGATATGGCAAGGAGTGTAGACCCTGTGGACAGAGATCACCGCGGACGGGATAAGACAATAGTGAAGTCGCTCAGTCGTGTCCGACTCTGCCTACCAGGCTCCTCCATCCAAGGGATTTTCCAAGCAAGAATACTGGAGTGGGTTGCCATTTCCTTCTCCATAAGACAATGGATATCCACAAGGGATAACGCAATGGATGTCCTCAAAAGTGCCTACCTGGGCAGATGACATGAAGGACCAGATTTTGCCTGCCCCTGTCCCTGCCATGAGTAGTCACCCATAATGTGAGATCTTTAACATTAAATAATTTATCAAGGCAGATGTGATATCCATTAAACTCTTTAAAACACTGACATATTTAGGCAATCAAAACCTATTATTCAGCTGAATCATAATCTTCAGGTAACTGTTTCTAATGTGAAAACTTCCCTTTCATATGGATGATCACAAAATTCTGTGAGTGATCTCTGAAAATGAAGCTGATCGAAATTTTGCAACCGACAAGCATGATCAAGAGTCACTGCCTAACCTTAGAGCAATAAAAGCTGAACCAGTCACACTTCACTCCCTTGAAAACAGACATGACTGAAATATTTGCAAGCCAACAGGCATCAAAGGCATAGCTTCAAACCAGGCTCAATAAAAGCACCACTTGCCCTGTTCCCAGAGCAGTGAGTGGGTGGCTTAGGATCGGAGCAGAGTAAACCTCTGAGCTTTTATGCTGGGAGTAAATGAAAAAGTATTTATAAAGTCACTTATTTGATGCTCCACACTCTTGTACCATTTACATCGTATTATAATATGCTGCTTTTAAATGCCTTGTACATTTCCAAGGTCTGCGCTTTGTGCTGTAAACAAAAGCTGCTAAGGACAGAGATTGAGTCAAATCCAATGGATGCCTCTTTATTTTAGCTCTTTCTCCTGTATTTGACATTGTTGCCCATTGACTCTTATTAAAACTCTCTTTGCACTTTGCTCCTTGACTCGAAGCGTTGAACACTCAGTAAATAATTACTGACCACCACGGCAGGTACCATCCTACACCCTGGAATACTTACTTGAACAAAGCAGGACAAGGCAAGGCTCTAGCTCTCACAAACTCAACATTCCATTGCAGGGAAGAAGAACACCTGGAAGAAACACACGAATGACAGAACATCAGCTTGCAAGGTGTGCACGCTTATTTAGGATTATCGGGAAAGACTTCTCTGAAGAGGTGACTTATGAATGGAGACAATGATTTGAATGGATCAGACTTCCAAATATCTGAGAGGAGAGTGAATAGCACGTGCAAAGGCGGGAGACAAAATGAACCAAGCCTCATAGAAAGAAGACCACGTGTCTTAGGCTGAGGCCACTTGAGGGAAGGTGCTGGAAGGGCCTGGAGGGGCAGGGAGGGGCAGCTCTGTCATGCCCTGAGGACCGTGTCCTCCTCTCCCCATTTCTCTTCTTCTGATCATTCCATCTGAGTCTCCTTCGTAAGTTCTTCCTGTTCTCCTAGACTCTCAAGTAGTGGGATTCCCCAGATCTCAGTTTGACCTCTATTTTTTCTCTTCTACACATGGCCCAGGTTATCACCCACCATTTGATGAAAACTTGAAAATCACTATTTCCAGTTGTAGAATATGTTCACTGTGACTCTTACTGGTGGCCACAGATGCTTATCAGTGTCAACACGGGAGAGCTGTCTGAGTGGCTTATCTTTATAACCTACAGTCAGGTGAGTGAGGAGAGCAAAGTTGACATGTGTGGTAATCACGTCTAGGGTCAACATATAAGAGTTGTACGCAGCACGCCGTAACAGGGCTCAGATAGCATCACCGACACAGAAGCCAGGCATGGAAATGGGAGACAAAATGAACCAAGCCTCATAGAAAGAAGACCACGTGTCTTAGGCTGAGGCCACTTGAGGGAAGGTGCTGGAAGGGCCTGGAGGGGCAGGGAGGGGCAGCTCTGTCATGCCCTGGGGGCCGTGTCCTCCTCTCCCCATTTCTCTTCTTCTGATCATTCCATCTGAGTCTCCTTCGTAAGTTCTTCCTGTTCTCCTAGGCTCTCAAGTAGTGGGATTCCCCAGATCTCAGTTTGACCTCTATTTTTTCTCTTCTACACACGGCCCAGGTTATCACTCACCGTTTGATGAAAACTTGAAAATCACTATTTCCAGTTGTAGAATATGTTCACTGTGACTCTTACTGGTGGCCACAGACGCTTGTCAGTGTCAACACGGGAGAGCTGTCTGAGTGGCTGAGAGCAAAGTTGACGTGTGTGGTAATCACGTCTAGGGTCAACATATAAGAGTTGTATGCAGCACGCCGTAACAGGGCTCAGATAGCATCACCGACACAGAAGCCAGGCGTGGAAAGAGCTATTGCATCTCCAGCGCTTCTCCCAGCGCAGGGTGTCCTCTGCCCCTCTTGTCTCCTAACCTGCTTAGAAGTCAAGCTCCCAGGGACAGAGACATTTATCCCTACAAGATGTCTAGTGGACTCCTGGAGGTGCTCCTTCCCTGGCTGGACTTCCCAGGTGATGCTAGTGGTATAGAACATGCCTACCAACGCAGGAGACATAAGAGACACAGGTTCAATCCCCAGGTCCAGAAGATCCCCTGGAGGAGGGCATGGCAACCCACTCCAGTATTGTTGCCTGGAGAATCCCATGAACAGAGGAGCCTGGTGAGCTACAGTCCATAGGGTCGCAAAGAGTCGGACATGACTGAAATGACTCAGCATGCATGCATGCACTGGTTAAGGGCATCTGTCTTTATAACCCAACTCTAGGTTGTTCTAGATAGATGGAATACTTTTATATTGGACTCTTTCTGGAATGTTCATTCGGCCTGTAATAATTATAAACTATTCAAAAAGCGATTACTGGTAATTGTCACTTGTTACATGGAAGCCAACAGACTAAATCTTGCAGTGCTCTCTGTAAGTCTTAGATCCCTCCTCCTTCCCCATTGCTTTGACACCAGCCCAGAGCTCTCCCCTGAATTTTAGTACATCAATACTCACTTCCTTCTTGGTTTGTCCATTTTTTTAATTTAAAAAAGTATTTATTTGTGTGTTTACTGTTATTGAAGCATCGTTGATTTACAGTGCTTCAGATGTACAGCAAGGTAACTCACAGACACGCATATGCATATATACACATATATATTCCTTTTCAGATTCTTTCTCATTATAGGTTACTATGAGAATTTTGCTTTTCGTAATTTTTATTGGAGTATAGTTGATTTACAATGCTGTGTTAGTTTCAGGTGTACACCAAAGCTAATCCATTATAAATACACATACATCCATTCTTTTTTTGGATTCTTTTCCCACATAGGTCATCACAGAGTATTGGGTAGAATTCTCTGTGCTATACGGTAGGTCTTAGTTGTTTATTTATTTTATATATAGTGGTGTGTGTCCACTTTGACATAGCTGGGAAATGTAAACATTACAGCCTAAACTGAACTCTTCTCTCTCCTCCACAGGCCTAACCCCATACTCCTCCTGGGTTTCTTGTTTATTCTAACGTGATTGATTATTCGTAGTATACTTTCAGTCACCCAGGCCCAAATCTAGGAGTCAATTTAGATTCTTCTCTTGCCTCACATCCAACTGATTAACAGGTACTTCCAGTTTTATATCTCCACAATATTTGCCCAAATCCATTCCTTTCTCAACATATTCATAACTTTTGTTCAAGTTAAATCTCATCACCTTTTCACTAGACCACTATGATAGCCTTCTAACTAGCTTCTTTACTTCTGATTTTACTAATTTCTGATTTCTGAATTCCACCAACACACTAATACCAAAGAGATGCTCTGAAAATCACTCTTTGCCCGGAACACCATTCCCTTGCTGAAAGCCTTTCAGTGAGTCCCCATTTCAGATGTAGAGCAAAGTGATTCTTATACATATGTTTGGTGCACATAAGGCCCTCAGTGATGTATCTCTACTCATTTTTCCAGCATAATATCAGCACCACTCTGCCTTACCCCTTGTTTTACAAATAACAGCTTTCCTGCATTTCCTCATGCCACACATGTTTGCTCTCTCCTTGGAATTATCCCTGAAATGTCTCTTCTTTTCATACCACTGTATTGAATTCATCAGGAAGTCCTTTCAGCTCTATCTGTGGAATCTAGCTAGAATCTCACCACTTTGCACAATTTTTGCGGCAGTCTACTCCAGAGAGGCACCATCTCACATCGGAATTATTGTGGCAATCTCCTAATTGTGTCCCTGCTTCTACCCTTGTTCTCTGTAGCCTATTCTTTCCCAAGAAGCCTGAGCAGTACTTTTAAAGTGTCAGTCCTGTCACATATTTTATCTATCGCTTTCCCACTTTGCTCGAGCACAATCCGGATTCTTTACGATGGGCCCTAAGGTGCTACCCCCAGCTCTTCCCTTCTCAGGTTTCACCTCATTGCCTTGTCCCTTCGCTCCCTGACCCCCTCTGCCCTTGCTCGTGGCTTTGTCACATGCTGTTCCACCTGCCTTGAAAGCTCTTCCACCCTACATCCATAGGGCTACTCTCTGACTCCAACAAGAAAACGACAGCGCTGCATAAACTAGGACACCAAGCTCCCCATCACACTCCATTGCACACACTCGGCTTTATTTCCTCTTTATCATCTTCATTTCTCCTTCATCAATACTGCTCTATACTTAAGGGAGATTGGTTTCTTTAATCCCCTGTCCCCCTCACTAGAATAGAAAATCTGTGATGATGGAGATGATGTTCTGCCTTGATCATCTTCAGCCCACGTCATCTGTATGGGCATCTAAACCATGGAACTGCTGTGCAAAGATTCCTTGAATGAATGAGTGAATCTCAATGTCTGCCGAGGCTATGTTTTCCGACTGGTATCTTCCACATTGTCCCTTCTGTTTTGTTTATGTTTGCTTTTCCCAATCTGGATTCCACAAAGCCATTCCAGAAATCCAGTTTGGGCTACTTGTTCCTCCTCTCTACACCCACAGCACTGTAGGTTTCATCACTTAGCATTTATTTGTCTATGGAAATGCCATAAACCTGTGGCTTCCTCCTGCACTTAACATAAATACCCATCATGAGGAACTATCTTCATTCTACATACTCAATAAGTATGTATGAAGCACGCTGCGCTAGGCACTGGGAACACAGTATTGAACTTACAGGAAAGCCTTCATACTCACGTGCTTACAATCAAACATCTTACGCTCTGATGCACGTGGTTTGGCATATTTGGCATATTAATCATCTTGGATGATTAATGGGTGTCTCTGTTTGGACCTATTATCTTACATTTACATTTAAAAAGGTAATCTCTCTTCATATTGCTTCTGTCTTTCATCAGAACAAAGGATGCAAAGTTTGTAGACAATAGTTTGGTTTTCCTTTGTAGTTGGCAACTTGGCTCCCATTCCAAAAGCCAAATGCATTCATGCATTTTCCCCCAAGAATGGGAGCACCTAAAGAATCCAAAGAGAATAAAGAAGCAAATTGAGCTTATAATTTGTTTACTTTTAAATCGATTTTACCGAAGCACAATAAACATACACTAAAATGCAAAGAGATCCACCCAGTCCATCCTAAAGGAAATCAGTCCTGAATAGTCATTGGAAGGACTGATGCTGAAGCTGAAACTCCAATACTTTGGCCAACTGATGCGAAGAACTGACTCACTGGAAAAGACTCTGATGCTGGGAAAGATTGAAGGCAGGAGGAGAAGGGGATGACAGAGAATGAGATGGTTGGATGGTGTCATCAACTCAATGGACATGAGTGTGAGTAAGCTCTGGGAGTTGGTGATAGACAGGCTGCAGTCCGCGGGGTTGCAAAGAGCCAGACACGGCTGAGCGACTGAACTGAAAATGCACACATTTTAAGCATATATTTTGATGAGTTTAGACTAATTTATTAAACCATGCAACCACTATTACAATGATGATGTAAGAACATTCTCATCACCCCATAAAGCTCATTCCCATCCAACCATATCAATACCTCTAGCTCCAGGAAACCACCGATCTGCCTTCTGGCCATTTAAATTAGATTTGTCCTGTAGTTCACATAAGTGGAGTCATTCAGTATGTAATCATTTAGACCCAATTACCTCTGCACAATCTAATGTGTTTGAGATTCACCCATACTGTTGCTTACATCAGTATTTTATTCTTTTATTGCTAATAGTCCATTTTATTGATATACCATAATTTGTTTACCCATTCATCATTGGATGGACACTGGTTATTTCCAATTTGGAAAAATTGTGAACAAAGTTGCCATGGCATTTGCATGCAAGTCTTTGGTAGATAACTGTTTTCACTTCTCTTGAAAAAATATTTAGAAGTGGAAATGTTGGGTCATACAGTAAGTGCATGTTTAATTTAACAGAGAAACTGCCAAACTATTTCCCAATATGACTGCACCATTTTGCAGTCCCCCCAGGAAAGGATTAGAATTGTAATTGCTTTGCATCCTCGCCAACACTTAGTATTGTCATTTTTATTTTTGTCAGTCTGTTTCTTATATTTCAGGGCACACTAATGTCTTGGTAATTAGGGCAAAGTTTGAGAACATATAGTTCTTGTAGAACAAAAATCAATCTGCAGATATATTCTCATATGCAACTTGGTGAAACCCTGTATGTTGGAGCCTGGTACAAAGACAGCGGCCAAGATTTTCTGAGCTCTGGGAGTTGAAAGTTGGCAACAAAAGTGAAAAGACTTTAGGTTTCAGAAGATAAAGATGCAAAGTATGAAAATGCAACCAGAAATCAGGGTTGGGCCACAGCTTTAGAAGGGGAAATACAGGGCTAGCTAGCTTCCTGGAAGCCTCTAGGCATATTTTCATCAACCAGTCAAAAAGTAACTTTCTTTTATGTATAATTTCTGTTTAAAAGCAATTATTTAATATATGTTGTTGATTCATTAACATTAAACTCACAGCCAACAACATGATAACTCGAATGAAGCTCACCTAAACCACATAATTTCCTTCATAAAGCACATCACAGCTTTTTTGATCTTGGGGCCAATAGACAGCACTTCAGGGCTTCAGCACTTCAGTGTTTGGGGAGCAATTTTAAACAGCAAAATCACCAAAGGGGCAAACTTGCAAAACATGTGATACTAGATAGACCACATAAAGGGTGTATGTTTACACTGAGAAAGCTGAAATAAGAAGACAGTTGTTGCCTTG